TGCTCTGCAGCACCCGCTGCACGCACAGGCAGTGGGCCGAGGTGTAGGAGTTGGGCGCGTCGATGGGCACCATGAAGCTGTTGCCAAAATTTTCATAGCCGTGCCCGGCGTAGTAGAGCAAACCTGCCAGGAGGGGTGGAGAGCGGGTGACATCTCTTGACCTGTCAGTGCCCGCTTCTTACCTAGCCGCCCCCCAAGACCCCACCAGCACAAAACCACCCGGTTCCCCCCTGCATGGAGCCGCCCCAGCGGGTGCCACCACACCATAGACTCCCTTGTCGAGGAGGAGGAGGAACTCATTGACAGCCATCTGCATCTCGGCCTTGCACAGGTCCAGCAGCGACACCACCTTGAAGTCGAGCTGGCGAAGGAGGGCGCCGAGGGCGTGCACATCCACCATGGGGGCCTTCAGCTGCTTGTGGTGCAGGTAGTGCATGTTGCCGATCAGCAGCGCCACTTTGTCGGTGGCTGCCGGGAAGGGAGAGGGAGGCACTGGGGACGGAGCAGGACGCTCCTGCTGTCCCTGTTGCCCACAGAGGTGTCACAGTCCCCGGGTACCAGGGGTGCCCTTGGGGAAGCCAGAGCCAGGCATGGCTTTACCTACTCCCATCGACCCATCTGGCCACCGTGCCAGGGAGAGGTGGGGGCCACAGCCAGATCCTGGATGCTTGAAGCATCGTCAGCCCAAATCCCTGTGCTCTGTGGCATCCCTGCATCGATGGTCCACTCTCCACTGAGCGGAACCTCATGAGGTGACACCAGGGATTGTCACAGCCCCACAGGGCCACCAACCCCTCCTGAGTAGGCTCTTACCATACAGCTTGCCAGGGCTGCCATGCTCTGGGGAGCCTGGAAAGAGAGAAACACTGTGCTACAGCCCTGCGGTGCCTAGGGAGTGCAGTGGGCAAAGCAGAGGGACCTCCCCACACTGCCTCCACCTACTTCCGTCCCCTTCCTGCCAGGAGCCTCCAGAGGTGAAGAGCCGTGGGCCTGCAGCAAAGCAGGGGGTCAGGGAGCACCATGCACAGCAGCACCTCCTGGCATGAGCTGGAACCCCTCAAAACTGTGGGGCAGCCACGGGAGGGCTTTACGGGGAGGCAGAGCAGAGCCAGAACGCCCCACACAGGGTGAGGGGGCACAGAGGCTTGTCCGGAGCCCTCACCAATCTCCACATCCACTTCCTGGCTCCACACCTCATGGAAGAGGTTGAACACACGGCAGGAGTAGCTGCCCCGCTCGGGCGTCGTCACCAGCTTCACCTGCCAGGACAGAGCAGGCAGCTGGGGCGCTTTGCCGTGCCGCGTTGTGCTATGCCACGCCAGGGGTCCTGTCATACCTGGAGCTGGGGTGCCTGCGCGCCCTCCACGGGACGCCGGTTCCTGAACCACTGGTACTGGGGCGGGGGGTTGCCGACGGCTCTGCACTCCAGCGCCAGCGTGTCCCCCTCGGCCAGGTGGCACGGCCGTGGCTGGCCC